GAAAAGGACTTAAGAAGCAAACTGGTGTAGCTATCCTAATATCTAACAAAAATAGACTTCAAACTAAAATCAATTAAAAGAGATCAGGAAGGACATTGCATACTCATCACAGGAAAGATCCACCAAGATGAAGTTTCAGTTCTGAACATTTATGCCCCAAATACAAGGGCACACACATTTGTAAAAGAAACATTACTAAAGCTCAAATCACACATCAATTAAATCCCCATACACTAGTAGTGGGAGACTTCAACACCCCACTCTCACCACTGGACAGATCTACCAGACTGAAACTTAACAGAGAAATCAGGGAACCAACAGATGTTATGACTCAAATGGACTTAATAGACATCTACAGAACATTCCACCCTAATAAAAAAGAATATACCTTCTTCTCAGCACCCCATGGAACCTTCTCTCAAATCAACCACATGCTTGGCAACAAAGCAAATCTCAACAGATACAAAACAATTGGAATAATCTCCTGTATCTTATCAGATCACTATGGCTTAAAGTTAGATTTCAACAAAAACAACAACAAAAATTACAGAAAGCCTACAATATCATGGAAACTGAATAATGATCAACTGAATCACCAATAGGTCAAAGAAGAAATAAGAAAGAAAGACTTCCTAGAATACAATGAAAATGAATGCACTACATACCCAAACTTATGGGACACTCTGAAGGCAGTGCTAACAGGAAAATTCATAGCACTAAATGCCCACATAAAGAAGTTGGGGAAATCTCATACTGGTGACTTAACAGCAAACTTAAATTCTGTAGAACAAAAAGAAGAAAAGTCACCAAGGAGGAATAGATACCAGGAAATAATCAAATTGAGAGCTGAAATCAATAAAATAGAAACAAAAAGAACAATACAAAGAATCAATGAAACAAAGTGAGAAAATCAACAAGATAGACAAGCCCTATCCAAACCAACCAAAAGGCAGAGAGAATGTATCTAAATTAACAAAATCAGAAATGAAAAGGGAGATGTAACAACAGACAACAAGGAAATCCAGAGAATCATCAAGCCATACTTCAAAAACCTGTACTCCACAAAACTGGAAAATCTAAAAGAAATGGACAGTTTTCTAGATAGGTACCACACACAGTTAAATCAGGACCAGATAAACAATTTAAATAGACCAATAACCCCTAAGGAAATAGAAACAGTCATTAAAAGTCTCCCAACCAAAAAAAGCCCAGGAACAGATGGTTTCAATGCAGGATTCTACCAGATCTTCAAAGAAGAGTTAATACCAATACTCTTCAAATTGTTCTGCACAATAGAAATGGAAGGAACATTACCAAACTCTTTTTATGAGGCTACAGTTACTCTATTTCCAAACCACCAAGATGCAACAAAGAAAGAGAATAGACCAAACTCCCTCATGAACATTGATGCAAAAATACTCAAAGCCGGGCGGTGGTGGTGCACGCCTTTAATCCCAGCACTCGGGAGGCAGAGGTAGGTGGATCTCTGTGAGTTCAAGGCCAGCCTGGGCTATCAAGTGAGCTCCAGGAAAGGCGTAAAGCTATGCAGAGAAACCCTGTCTCGAAAAACCAAAAAAAAAAAAAAAACTCAATAAAATATTGGCAAACAGACTCCAAGAACACATCAAAAAATTATCCACTATGATCAAGTTGGCTTCATCCCAGAGATGCAGGGATGGTTCAACATAGAAAAATCTGTCAATGTCATACACCATATAAATAAAATTATAGAAAAAAAACACATGATCATCTCATTAGATGCTGAAAAAGCCTTTGATAAAATCCAACACCCCTTCATGATAAAGGTCTTGGAGAGATCAGGAATACAAAGAACATACCTAAACATAATAATTTACACGCAATTTACAGCAAGCCAATAGCCAACATCAAATTAAATGGAGAGAAATGCAAAGTGATTCCATTAAAATAAGGAACAAGGTTGTCTGCTCTCCCCATATTTATTCAAGCTAGTACTTGAAGTTCTAGCTAGAGCAATAAGACAACAAAAGGAGATCAAGGGGATACAAATTGAAAAGGAAGAAGTCAAACTTTCATTATTTGCAGCTGATATGATAGTCTACATAAGTGACCCCAAAAATTCTACTAGGGAACTCCTAAAGCTGAGAAACACCTTCAGTAATGTGGCAGGACACAAGATTAACTAAAAAAAAATTAGTAGCCCTCCTATATACAAATGACAAATGGGCTGAGAAAGAAATCAGAGAAACATCACCCTTTACAATAGCCACAAATAATATAAAATACCTTGAGGTAACTCTAACTAAGCAAGTGAAAGACCTGTATGACAAGAACTTGAAGTCTCTGAAGAAAGAAATTGAAGAAGATAGCAGAAAATGGAAAGATCTCCCATGGTCATGGATAGTAAAATTGCCAATCTTACCAAAAGCAATCTACAGATTCAATGCAATCCCCATCAAAATCCCAACACAATTCTTCACAGACCTGGAAAGAACCATAGTCAACTTCATATGGAAAAACAAAAAACCCAGGATAGCTAAAAGAATCCTGCCCCACCTGTAGGGCTATAATGGGTACTCGACCACCCTAAGGAGGGAATGTAGGGACAGGAGATACAAAGGAAATACACCAAGTCTAGATTCTGATCAAGGTGCAACTTTATTTTTCTCCAGGAGGGTTGATATAGTTCCTGCAGGGTGGGGGGAGCAAGAAGCTGTCATCTGCATAAGGTGGGGCAAGCTAACAGGATGTTTGTATAGGATGTTTACAGGGTGAAAGGGTCAAGGGCTCTGACTCAAGTCCTGTTGCTAGGCAACCTGACTGTAAAATAATCTAGTTCCCTGTCTTATGGGGGTCTGTATTTTTCCACTAACTAGAGATTCTATCCTTGTCCCTAATAGAATCCTGTACAATAAAGCAACCTCTGGAGGCATCATGATCCCTTACTTCAAGCTCTATTATAGAGCTACACTAATAAAAACAGCTTGATATTGACATAAAAACTGACACGTGGACCAATGGAATCAAATTGAAGACCCTGACATCAAGCCACACACCTATGAACACCTGATTTTTGACAAAGAAGCCAAAACTGTACAATGGAAAAATGAAAGCATCTTCAACAAATGGTGCTGGCATAACTGGACGTCAACATGTAGAAGATTGCAAATAGATCCATATCTATCACCATGCACAAAACTCAAGCCCAAGTGGATCAAAGACCTCAACATAGATCCAGTTACTCTGAACCTGATAGAAGAGAAAGTTGGAAGTAGTTTTGAATGCATTGACACAGGAGATCACTTCCTAAATATAATACCAGTAGCTCAGACATTGAGAGCAACAACTAACAAATGGGATGTCCTGAAACTGAGATGCCTCTGTAATACAAAAGACACAGTAAATAAGACAAACAGCAGCCTACAGAATGGGAAAAGATCTTCACCAACCCACATCTGACAGAGGGCTGATCTCCAAAATATATAAAGAACTCAAGGAACTAGACATCAGAATAACGAACAATCCAATTAAAAAATGGACTACAGCGCTAAAAAGAGAAAACCCAACAGAAGAATCTCAAATGGCTGAAAGACATTTAAGGAATTGCTCAACATCCTTAGGGAAATGCAAATCAAAATGACTCAGATACCATCTTACACCTGTCAGAATGGCTAAGATCAAAAACACTGAAGACAGCTTATGTTGGAGAGGATGCGGAACAAGGCAAACACTACTCCACTGTTGGTGGGAGTAAAAACTTACACAGTCTCTTTGGAAATCAGTATGGCAGTTTCTCAGAATATTGGGAATCAGTCTTCCTCAAGACCCAGCTATACCACTCTAGGAATGCTTAATCATACCATAAGGACATATGCTCAACTATGTTCATAGCAGCATTATTTGTAATAGATAGAACCTGGAAACAACCTAGATGCCCCTCAACTGAAGAATGGATAAAGAAAATGTAGTGCATATACACAATGGAGTACTACTCAGCAGAGAAAAACAATGACATCATTAGGTCTGCAGGCAAATGGATGAATTAAAGCAACATTTATAGCTCAATCTCCTCCTAATTCTCAGGGATCATTATGAAAGATACAGCAGGAAGAGCATAAAAGGCAGAGGTGAACTCTGTTCTCCCAGATCCAATTCCCTGTGGCTCATACCTAGTTCTGCAACATCACCAGCTGAAGCCAGCCTTACCCCTGTGCACATTTCCTGTGGATCCCACATCTTTGCCATTCTTGCCAAAAGAGGGTATATACACATTGGTCGGAGCAGAGATGGATGGCTCTGGAGACTCACCAGACATCTTGATACTGTATATTCATCACTTGGTTTGTCGTAATATTAACATACAAAAAGCTGAGAAACAACACTGGAAGCTAATTATGAAGCTTACTGGACTCTTACTTGCTCTTTTCATTAATAAAAAAAGAACTATCTCGCCCTTGGCCATGAACTGCATACTCTTAATTGACACTGATCAGGTAAGGATGATGCTCTACTATGATTGGCTTAGCTCAGAGTCCTACAGCTACAACCCTGGTATGCCCCCCTTAACAACTTTGTTTGAAAGTGATTGCATCTCCTCTTATTTCTGAATGTATTTTCAACTTCATACATACCAAATCTGGAGAAAATATAAATTTGGAAAAATACATATATTCCAAAAAATCACAGCAATATACTGTTATCTGTATTATTTTGACCATTTTGCTTTGTTTTAGTGCCTAAATTTTGTTTTCCTGCATTTATTTGTCTATTAGTAATTAGGATATTTACTGTATGCTTTCTCTTTTTATTATTTTTTTATTTTTTGGTTTTTCGAGATGGGGTTTCTCTGTGTAGCTTTGCATCTTTCCTGGAACTCACTCTGTAGCCCAGGCTGGCCTCAAACTCACAGAGATCCACCTGTCTCTGTCTCCTGAGTGCTGGAATTAAAGGCATGAGCCACCACTGCCTGGCTTGCTTTCTCTTTTTAATGTTGTGCCCTGAATTTGCAAATTGCTGTGATATTGCTAATAATTTTTATATGTGGCCCTCATAAGCAGTGTGTATACCTCAAGGAGATGTGATGTAATGAGCATAGTTTTTTTTTTTTTAAAGCCTCTTCGATATAAAAAATTAGCTTAGTCAGGAACCCGACTACACCCAAGTCTATACCTAATAACCAGAAATCAGTGATAACTCATTCCAGATAATCAGACAAAGTCTACAACCTCATGACACCCACTGAACAGTCTATAAGTAGATACCAAGAGCAATGCACATTTAGAGAGACATCACTTTGTTTAGCCCTGTGGCCAGAGCACCCCCCCCCCAGGATCCTGACCTTCTGTTAAAGACTGGATTTCACCTTCAGCTGAGATACAGGTGAGCAACCTTAGAGAAATAGGTTTAGGGACCATAGTTAGGAAATTAGCGAGTATGAACCTTGTGTGATGACCACCAACATAATAAAATATAACTTTTTCTATACTAACTATGCATATCTACCTTCCTACTCATGAGCGTTAGAATGCTCAATGGGATTATGAAAAAACAGTAGAGATTGACACAATGTGACTTCTATATTTACTACAAAGCTACAATAATAAAAAAATGTGTACAATATTTGTGAAAGAATAAAGGGGATGGAGAGAATAAACCAAGATCAAAAGTAGGAAAATACAATCAACTTTTCATAAAAAGACCAAAGAAAAGTCAGCCAGGATAACTATGATCTTGACCAATGTCACCCTGCTACCTGTGATTCTACATGTATATAAATTAAAGAAGCATGGACTTCACAACTCATACAAAATTAACTCAAAGTGACTCAGGCTTTTATGTTTCTTACTCTCCAGCTACTGATATTTCTTCCAGAGAGGCCCCATGCTCTAGAGCCCTCTCTGCAAATGTAGGTGATCTCCTCTAGAGCTCTAGGGCTCTACAGCCCTTTTTGTCCACTGTCATTTTAGGCAAACAGCCCTACTGACGCCCAATCACAAAACAATGTAGAAGAATAATTTAATGTTTGCTTCCTGCCACATGAATTATGACACAAGATGTGGAATCTTCTCTATCTGCCCAACACCATGCAAAATTGAGATACCTCTGGAGGTATTCCAGAAACTTGTTTGTCCCCTAAAACTGAACTTTGCTGAATTCCACCATGGTGGCTGGTAGTAGCAGAAAGTTAAAAGCATTCTAATTATGTATTGCTGAAGGATGACCTTCATCACCTCTTTCCACCATTTTCTAAACCATCTGTAACAATTATAAGAAACCTGAAAGTGGAATGTAATGTTCAGAACTTTTAGAAACCAGGCCTTCATTTTTCCAATCTGTCTTTCCACTGCACACCAAAAGCAATTTCTTTTGTGTGCACACTGGATAGTGATATTACAAGCATCATACCCTCTCATACCCAGGGCTGCAGAGCCTCCCCCTCCACAGAGAATTCACACTTAGGGGGGCTTAGAGGACAAGGGCCACTGCCAGGTCACCACAGGGACCAATGGGACCTCATTCTGGCTCTTGGTATAGCCTAGTCCCAGCAGCTCAGATCCCCATAGCTCATCCAACCTGCTCTTCTTGGTCTGGGGACAGTGGCTCCCATACTCACTATGGCATGGCTTGTGGTCTTCCTTACAACTCCCTACAAGAGAACCAGAGGAGAAACCTGAAAAGAACCTATAAGCTATCTCCAACTGGTACTCCTGACTGCTAAGCCTTCCAGAGTCCCTCATTAGCTAAGACCACCCAGCTGGGCCTTGGAACACTAGAGGTTACCCTATTAGATGAGCAGAGTTCAAATGACTCAGACAGCACAGGCCTTCCCAGCTCTGCCCTTCCACCCTAGGGTCAGACACTGCCCTCATCTGGGAAATTCGTAGTTTAGTAGAATCTTCCATTCTCCCAGAGGACTTCCTGTTCCTCTTCCAAGGCACAAGGTCCTTTCTGTGCACATTCCATTACACACTCAATGTCCTGTGCAGCCAACCCTCTGCTTCACAGCTCAGAGGTTCTGCAGACAAACACTGTTTACATGCAAACAGTAACTGTTGTTAAAGCAAAAAGAGGCCATGGATTAGAAAACAGTGAAGGGTCAATGGGAGGACATGGAGGCAGGAAAGAGAAATTAGAAATGAAGTAACTATAATCACACAAAATCATGCTCAAAAGTTGAAAGAGGCTTTATGGCCATGTGCTCCAGAGATTTCTACTAGAGCACCCCAGTTACTGCTCATGCCATAGTTGTCAGGCTGTCCATCTTCAGCATGGAAAACACAGTCCTGTTAGGCAGGGCCACACCATTTTATCCAGTTCTTCCATTTTGGTGGAACTGGTGGAACTGAAGTAATTTGGTTTCATGACAGTTCAGTTCGTTATCCAGATTCTTGATTGCCTGGCGTGTGGATGGAAGAAATGGCCAGTCAGGTCATTGATCAATCATCTATAATTGATCACCTCACTGCTCGGTGCTAATGTCGACTACTGTCAAAGCAGGAAAGCTTTTACCCTCCTTCTTCCCCTTCCCTATCTATGCTTTGACGATGCCTTCTTTACTGGTCAGTGAATGTAATTCTTACACAGGTCTCACGTCATTTTCAAATCTGCAATATAATCTAGAGAAGTTGGAAGACACTCACCCCCTGGTCTATTTTTCCTTTTCACAAACCAATCAAGGCCCAGCCTGGAAGGAGTGGCTAGACTGTCTTTCCAGCACTGGGCACGAGGCAGGAATAAATGTTCAAAGTAATTCTGAATTACAGAGTGTGAGGCAAGCTTGAGAAACAGAAGACACTGATCTAAACCAGTGGTTCTCAACCTTCCTAATGCTCTGGTCCTTTAATACAGTTCCTCATGTTGTAGAACCCCCTCTATAAAATTATTTTCAATGCTACCTTATAACTATAATTTTGCTACTGTTATGAATTGTAATATAAATATCTGTGTTTTCCAATGGTCTTAGGCCACTCTTCTCCTATGATAGGGCCATTTGATCCCTCAAAGGAAGCTCTGACCTCCCCAAGATGAGAACCACTGCCCTAAACTGATATAAATAAATAATACTTAAGAAAAAATGGAATGGAATTCTTAATGACTAAGAACATTGGGAAATAGAAACAAACAGAGATTATAGCAGTAATGCATTTAAAGGAAATGAAATTTAACTAATAATTAATAACCTTCTAAAATGATAAAGATAATTGGAAGGATACTTAGGTATAATGACTTTGAAACAGAGTAGGCACTTCCCTGGTAGAGAGAATGCAATTAATAAGACATTGTATGACTTTGTCCCATATAAAATGTTAGCTGCTGAGTGCTGTAAGCTGACACAGATTGACAGCCAATGGCCTGTGTCTCAAACCTCTGAGCTGACTCAACTGTGTTAACTAGAACTGCACATATCTGCACAGGAGAGTTCCCTAACTCTGAATACTGAATACTCAGCAATTCAAGCCACCCTTCCTAAATTGTACACCCACCAATTCTGTCTTCATTGACATGGAAGGAATTAATACATGCTGGGAAATGTCACACACACACACACACACACACACACACACACACACACACACACACGTCATTCACAGTGCCCTATCAGGTCCTTCTTTATGATGAAGACCCCTGCAGCTCACTGCCTTAAACTTCAGTCTGTGATCTGGCTATTGTCTAGTCTGTTTCCCCCTGCAGTGTGCACAGCACACTGTTCCTCCTCTTCTGGTCTGAAGGGAGAAGCCAAGCTCCACACACAAATCCTTTCCCTCTTTTGCAATGGACAGTCCACTATGTGACTCAAACTGGTAATTTTAGAACTCTGTGGTGCTACAGACCTGTAATCCAAGGATGGTTAGTCAGGAGGACAGCAAGGGCAATGCCCTGTGGGGCTACAGACAGGGTTCAAGTTAACCTCAATTAATACTGGAGACCTTGAATGAAAACCACTTTTCAAAAAGGCTGGAGAGCCGGGCAATGGTGGCTCACGCCTTTAATTCAAGCACTTGGGAGGCAGAGGTAGGTGGAACTCAGTGGTTGTAAATCAGGGTTGTCTCCTTTATTATGGGAATGTAGCTTACTGGCTGCTTAATCCGGGTGAACAAACATTTACATTTTACCATACTAATCTCTAACAGGTATGGTTAGCATTCTAGTTTTCTTTGGGATATTGCCTAAATTCTACTTTGTGTGACTTAACGTTCTATGATCTGGCTATTGTCTCTATTCTCTAAGAATTGAGAAATCCTTATGTCATCAATTCTATTACCATCAATTCTGCTCTTACACATCAGTTTAGCAGTGGAGTGTTACTGTACTAAGGGGATACAGTTTACAAGCTCCACAAAATTAAACTCTAGATGGATCCTACACACAAATGTTAAATGTCAGGCATGCAGAACTTCTGGAAAATATTAGCGAGACCAGGGCTCCGAGAGTTTGGCATATCTGCCTTCCATAGACAATACAGGCACTACAGGCGCCAGCATTGTAGTGACCTCAACAAGAAGACTATTTCTAAGCACCAATGCCCTGCACAGATGCAGCCCGTGGCGTGAAGGTATTCAGATGCTGCCGCCCAGCCCAGGGAGTTGCAAGGATCAGGCAGGACCACAGAGGGACCACACAGGGCACATTGGGCCAGGCAGAAATAAAACGAATTCTGTTCTGGCCGCTGGCTTCTACCCAGCCGGGAGAAGACCCACCACACCAGCTGCGGCGGACAGCGGGCAGCTCCTCCCAATCTGGGGACAGCAGCCCCACGCTCACTATAGCCGGCCACTCCTCCCCATCTGAGGACAGGGGCCACTCACTCACCATGGCAAGGCTGCTTAGATCGCCAGCGCTCTCCCCATAAAAGAGTACACAGCGCAACCCGAAGGCAAACTTCCGACTCTCTCAGCAGAGAAGCTCAGCCAGAAGCCTGGCAACCGGAAGAACCCTCCCATGTTACTGGCGGGTCTGCTGGAGGCTCTGATAGGCTAGTGAGGCCTGAGTGGCAGGACTGAATGAGCCGAAGGGACTTAGCACAGTGATTCCCAGTCCTGGCTTTCACCATAAGCACAGATTGGCTGGAGATTTGCACCAAACTGAACAGCAAGTCTCTTGTTAATATATACCAATAGGTACAGTTTTAAAAGGAAGTATGCAAATTCAGAAAAAGGCTAATCAGACAATGTCACACAAGAGGAACACAGGGTATCTCATAAACATTATAAACAAAGTCCACAGTGGCATTGGGACTGATAAACACAGCGGCATGTGTGGAAAGAATTGGGGTCTGAGGACCTGAGGCAGCCCCTTCCCATAGGCTCTGGCCCCAGGCATTTACCAGCTCTTCTAAGTATATTCTAGGCTTTAGAGAAGGAGCTCTATTTATTTCTCTATACATCAGGGCCTTACAGAAAGCTCCCAAGGCCTAGGCAGGTTGCCAAACTTGGAGAGGTCTAGTTTCTCAAGTGTCTTCTAGAAGTTCTGCGCTCCCAGTTTGACATTTAGGTGTAAGATCCAGTTGGAGTTAATGTTATGAAGGTTACAAATGGCATCTCATGTACTGGGTAGCACTCCACTACTAAGCTATGATGTGGATGAGTAGAGTTGGTGATATAAAGAATTTGCCAATACTTGGGAGACAGTAAGTCAAACAAAGAATTTAGCTAAGGGAAGGCTGCCTCTAAAATACCCCAAAGATAAGTAGTATGTTAACCAGGTTTGTTAGAGACAGGCTATTAGCATGTAAATGTTTGTTCACATTTTATGTATATTGTTATTGGTCACACGTCTATAGTAAAAACAGCTAATGGAATGCTCATTGATGGAGAGGATAGAGAGACCCTCTGTGTAAAGATCTCACTATAGTAAGCTGGAGCATCATAGTTTTAAGAGGGATTTCTTAGTTCTGTTGTGCTGGATGCTGTAACATCAATTTGATGTTTTATGCATTTGCTGTTTCTTTATATTGCCTACATATACCCATTAAAAACCAAAAGCATGCTTATAGTAGTGATGCCATGTATTCTATGAAGACTGTCTTGTGTTTTCTCTAAGGTTTAGTTTAACAGATTGTTCCTAGGAAATATTAATTTATTATATTATCTTATACACAGCTTCTATTCAGCTGTTTTTAGTTAGTTGTTGCTCAGTGCTATCTTAAGACAAACAATTGGCACCTTCCTATGATCAGCTGTGCCTGCTTACAAAGGATGGCCACCACCAGGTTTGCTGACTGTTGATATTCCATCATAGAGGGAGGGATCCCCTCTTTCTGAGTATACAGACTTTTTTCAGGCAACTGTATGCAATTTGACCCTAATGACATGTGATCTTGTGGTTATGGAGAGTAGCTAGAGCACATAGCCTGGGAAAGACTTGGGAGGAGGTGGATTCTGCATATGGACCCACGAAAAAAATCTTAAAAGTGGGAATATACCTTGAGTGCTATAAGGCTTATCTACTATGTACATTGAGAAATTGGTAGATAGAGTATATTGGGTATTGGAAGAGTAGGGAAAAGGTGGGTTCTACATATTCATGTGTGGGAGAGACATTATACATACTAGCTGGAGACATTCCTATGTGGCTGCTTTTAGGTATCTGCCTTAGTTAGTGTTTCTATTGCTGTGAAAAGACACCATGACTATGGCAACTCTTATAAAGGAAAAAATTTCCTTGGGGTTGGCTTACAGTTTTAGAGGGTTTAGTCTATTACTGTCATGGTGGGAAGCATGTTGGCATGCAGGCAGATGTGGCAATGGAGAAAGAGCTGAGAGTTCTACCTCTGAATCAATAGGTAACAGAAAGTGACTATGACACTCTTCCTCCAACAAGACCAAAGGTACTCCAACAAGGCCATACTTCCTAATAGTGCCACTCCTTATGGGACTATGGGGGCCATTTTGGTTCAAACCACCATAGTATCCAAACTCCTGTAAGTATCTCATTTAAAATGTCCAGTAATTAAGTTCAATAAACTCATTCATTCTCCTAGTGTGGACTTCAGTGAATTTGTACTTTGCATTGTCATTGGGACTTATGGGGATGGGATAGACATTGCTTTGTTCCCCTCCACTAGGGAGAAAATTCTCACAAATGATCCTAAATATATTTGTTAATGTTCCTATGTCTCATGGTATTAGGAAAAGGAACCAGTACATAAAATGTATGTTAAAATGTAAATATGGAAATGGCCTTAGTAAAGAAAGACTTAGATATATGAAGGTGGTAATGACTAGATGATTCCAGAATGAAAAAGACTGAAAAGCTTTGACAAGTTATGAAGCCATGAGTAAGTTGTTTAAGGTATATAAAGGATAAAATTTAGAGATTATATATTGTATTAAAGTTGGCAAGGTCAGATATTAACTATTTCAAGAACTGGCTAAAATGTATGTCAATCAAAAGTTTATTGAGTTATGTATGGTTATTAAAATAGTATACATTAGTTAAAAGTACCAGATTGGTATAAAACTGATCATCTGGGTGTTTCATAATCATTCTTGGACGGAATTTTAATGTGGTTAGAGGGACTAAAGGGGAGAATATTTTCCCTCTTTCCCTATAAGGTCAATGAAGTCCCAGGGACTAAGGCCATTGATCAGCCGTTATCTTGTTCACAGAGGCCATGGAGACCCCACTCAATGAATTTGAAACATTGTCCAGTCTACAAAAGAAGGATCAATGTGGGGGAAGATTTACTCAAGGCTTCAAAGGAAGCCATAGTATGTAGCTGGAGGGCTTCTCTCCAGGTTCCCCAAGCTCCGCAGTCCCACAATCCACTTATAAAATAATCACTCAGACGCTTATATCACTTATAAACTGTATGGCCGTGGCAGGCTTCCTGCTAACTGTTCTTTTATCTTAAATTAACCCATTTTTATAAATCTATACCTTGCCACGTGGCTGGTAGCTTACCGGCGTCTTTACAGGTTGCCTCTCCTTGCGGTGGCTGCAGTGTCTCTCCTCCTTCTTCCTGTTTCCCCAATTCTCCTCTCTCTTTGTCCCGCCTATACTTCCTGCCTGGTCACTGGCCATCAGTGTTTTATTTATATAGAGTGATATCCACAGCAATAGTACATAAAGCAAAGCCTTTGACTTATCCTCACATTGATGGACAACTGGTAAAAGAAAGGCTAGAAGAGTCTGAGGTTCCTCTCAAGCCCAAGTGACCCCTGAGGACTAGGTGCTCAACTGTCCTTGACAGCACAGAAAGAAAAGATTAATTTTGGCTACCTGCATGGTCTTCAGCAACAATAGAAAAGTTGAACCAAAGACTAAGAGAATTGGCAACAACCCAAGGGATCACACTCCACAGACATTAGACTTAGGACTATATAACCATATAAGATAGTTAGACAACTAATCTCACTAATATTTTCTTTTTCACAAAAAAAGTGTTACCCAGATGTGAGCCATCATACCTTGGCTCACTGAGCACCTGCCTACAGCTAAGGAAGGCAGGCCCACGATGGTTTTAACCCCCAAATTAAATGATCGATAAATGCATCTTCTCTCCCTATCCAGAAGCCAGAATGATGGGAAGGGCATCATGCTGACTTTTGGCTGATGAAACAGCAATAGAAGGGTGTGAAAGCTGAGTGTGGGTTCATCACTCTGAAGACCAAATGTAGAGGTCAAAGGGAAATATCTAATATTTGGGGACTATTGTGAACCCATCAAGTGCTGTGGAATATTAGTTTAAGATGTGTTGCATTTGTTTACACTGTGGAATATTTGTTTAATGATGCAAAGATGTGTTGCATTCTTTTATGTTGCAGTTGTTTAATTCTGGAAAGCTGTGTTACTGTACCTGTCAAAAACACCTGATTGGTCTAATAAAGAGATGAATGAAGCCGGGCGGTGGTGGCGCACGCCTTTAATCCCAGCACTCGGGAGGCAGAGCCAGGCGGATCTCTGTGAGTTCGAGGC